CCGAGAAAAAAAACAAAAAAAAGGTTTTTTTGAATCGCGCTAATAATTATCTAATTAATTGTTTGTTTTTTTTAACTTGTCTTCATTGGTTCAATACAACTATGTACATTTGCTTTTATATAAAAGAAAACGTACATAGTTATATAGTATATATATATATATATATATATATATATATATATATATATTATTGGTACCAATTGGAGAACATAATAGACTTGAATTGGTTCGATTGGGTAATTTAGCCTTAAAACCGATGGGTATCAATTGACCCAGTACCAATACTTATATTGGGTCCAATACAAACCATTTAATTTTTTTTCTAAAAATGTAATGGTTTTCTATAGGGATATGCAAATAGAAAGTCTATAGGTTTGTATAAGGATATACCTATAACAATGCACATATTGCGCCCGATACAAACCTATACATACTTTTTTATTGGTTTCTATGGTGCAAGTGCTTAAAAGAAATCGAGTTTTTGCAACGTATTGTTGCCTTAGTGCATAATGTATCTTATAATGGACGTATGTATTATTAGTTGCCTATATACTTGCAATGCAAAATGGATCCCAATATGTATTTTTCACTTGAAAGAGTTTTCTTGCGCGTCTGTGCATTTAGTTTTTGTCATGCACACCCAGTAGTTTTCTGTTTTAGTTGCTTTTTAGAAATAGTTTTTTTTTCGGTCAAAAATTGCATTTTTTTCTTTGATCCATTATAATGTACTATGCATAATGGCGAGGCACATTAGAGGCACTTGAAGACTCTAATGATAACCAACCATTTACATTGTACCTCCAGATGAGAAAACAGGGGAGACAGAGGAAGACAGTAATGACTCTAACGAAGAAGCAGCAGATCCGAACCACCTATCAAGAGGGATATTGGGTCAAACTTATGAAGTTAGGTATAATGATTCAGATTATGATAAAGATGACAAAATTTTCCTGTTAAATCTAAAAGCCAACTCGGCATCTACTTCATCGCAAGGACTATCTTCCTCTACTTCAACAAGTGTTAACCAAGCAAGGATATATACATTTATTTAAATTCAAAAAAATTCAAAAAAAAGTTTATGATGCCGTTCTAAAAAAAAGAAAAATGCCCGACTGGACTAAAAATATACCTTCTTATGACATTAGAAATCAATCTTGTACCCCTTCTGAAAAAGCATCCTCGGCCAAGACATCATTAGAATTTTTTAACAACAAGGTTGTTTCAGTGGCATCCAATTTTTTGCAGAGCAATGTTGTCAAAACTTCACGATTGTGTAGGGAGTCCAAATCGAAAAAACAAATAGATCAACCAGAGATGATTGCAGCCTACAATCTTGGTATGGGGGGGAGTAGATAATATGGACAATTTGGCAAAAAAAGTATCTTTATGACTAATGGGTTTAGATTTTTTAACTTATTTTTAGGGATTTGAAAATAATCGAATTTACGAATTATTGAAGACCAACCGAATATTTGAATATTCGAATTATTTTAATTGTTTTAATTATTCAAATGTTTTGAATTATTCGAATGGTCCGAATATTACAAAATTCAATATTTTTAATAATAATAATTATTCTCAATTGAACAATTAATTGTTGGATTAGTTTGACCCATTATAATTAAAAATATTAAATTTTCTAATCTTTGAAACCATTTGAATAATTCGAATTCGAATTATTTTAATCATTTAAATAAATTAAACTATTTGAACTTGAATATTACCTACTATTTAATTCAAACACAATTTGCACACCCTTACTAATTTTATTTTTAATTTACCTATCATAAATAAATACAAATTTTGTGTCAGTTAGCAAAGATAAATAAATACAAGTTTTGTATTTTTTATTTTTAAACGTTAAACGCTATAACAAAAACATTATCCTCAGTAGTAAAAAGTTGAAAATAATTCGACAGAAAACCTGTTGCCAGAAAATATGACAATAATAGAAATAATTTTTATGCTCTGCTGTTTACAAGTAAAAAATCCGACGAGGATGCGTAGTATGCATACCTCAAGCCAGGTTATAAATCTTGCGAATTTGCAAATAGCAGGAAAGCGTCCTCCACCAACAATTCGCATATACATATACGAAACAGAGTTTAAAATATTTTTTATTTGTTTAAATTTTATTTAAAACTTTAAAATAAACCAATTTAAACTTTTATGACTCAAATAATATCTACACTATGTACTTTTTAAATTTTATTAAAAAAAATAAATATAATACTATTATGATACTAGTATCCCTAAATTATAGCTGGTGGTAATATGAAAACTATATACAGATATACTTGGTGTTTTATCACCAGGGACACAAAATTAAATCTCATACTGAAAATTCAATTTAATACATAAAATCAAGAATAACGTGTTTTCAAGTTATTTAAGTTTAAAGATAGGATTTTTTATTTAATAAACAAAGTATGTATACATATATGTACTTTGTCTGATGGTTGTTGCCCATCCTCTATGATACTCTCTACAATGTAGAGTCTACATGTTTTTAATGCGTTACCATAGCAAAATCCATAAATATAAATAATATACATATACAGGGTGTTATGTAATTAATGTTATATATTAAAATGGGTTGTTCCTTAAGCCTAATAACGGGCAATGTTAATGGTGACAATTACGTCAAAAATGTTTATTTAAATCGTAGTGCCAGTTATAGATTTCCGTACCGTGAGGACGGCATTCCTTCCTCCCGTAGAAATTTTTAAGTTTTATCTTTTACCGTAAAGGTCTTTGACATGACCAATCACAGTGCTTGTTATTGACATGCGCTGTAGGGTGACAGGCGTAATTACAAAATATTTAAAATACATAATTCTTTAGTTTATGAAATAATTTGTGTCTCTAAATAGGATATTTAGATATTGTTTATGATCAATGTCTTTCATTTTTAGAAACGTTGCTTTGTAAAACCCCCTAGTTTCCCGGTCTTGGTAAAGTGGGCGAATCTTCCAACGTCTTGTTTGATGTTTTTTTTTATTATACTGCCCTACTATGGAAAAAGGCAGTAACTACAAATGCGTTTTCTTGTGCTATGATAAAGCTATGGACATTTTGTATCGTAATTCAACAAAGAAATGCAGTAAACTATCTTTTAAGTTAAATAAATCAGTTAAATACCTACTGCTTTTTATAAAAATGTAGTTTATGCTAATTTCCTACAAATTTCTTGTTTAGCAGTAACTGCCTTTCTCCATAGTTGGGCAGTATACAACAAGCTGCCTGGGCAATTAAAATTGTGATCACTGCACTAATATATAAATGATTATCTTTCATATTTACACACAATGGGTAAAACGCAGAATATAAACAAAAACAAATGTCAACCATTTTAGATGTCATCGCGCATGGTTACGGAATTTTACACGGAAATCTATAAATTGACTTTTTACAAGACGCACAAATCGTACGGGCATGACTACGGGAGGAAGGAAGGAAGGCAATCTATAATTTAGGCTTTAGGGTCCATAAAGAAGCACCTGAAACTTTTTTTTCTAAATTCCAAAGTCTAAAAATAATTTATAATAACCTTTATCCTACCAAAAAGTACGCCACTGATCGACTAGGAACTTTAGGTTAATCTGGTGGATTTATTATGTTATGGTTGGTAACAGTGTTTCCAAAATCTTTCAAAAAAGTTGACAAACATTGTTTAAATTTAGCTTAATTACAAAAATGACAAAATTAACAATGCAAATTGTCAATTTGGCGTTTTTATTAATTGTTGGTTATTTCGTTTTTGTACTGAAGGTAAATTCAAACAAAATCTGCCAACTTTTATGACAGAATCTAGTGCATTTCTTTTAAATTTTAGGTTATGTTTTCAAATTGTAAATATCTTAACTAAGGGAAGTGCTTTTGGATTTATTTACACAAATTAAATGTTTAAAGTTTAACCTGTGAACTGGTCCCAATTTCATCTGAATAAACAGAGAAAAAAACTGATGAAAAAATTAATTTTGTGGTTATGGATTTCAAATTTCAAAGGTACTAAATTTTCTAATCATTGCTTAAGCTAATAGCTGGATCAGTAAATAAATACAGAAGGGTATTAGAGCTTTAAGGGCATAAAACTTTTGTATTTATTGAGTTTTTATTAATTTTTTGCAAGAAAAATTTTTAGTAAAAATTTTTTACATCTGGCAACGCATAGCTACTTTGTTGGTTGGTATCTATGTACTCACAAAATACAGGTGTGCAGAGATAAACAAGTGTGTAACCAGTGGCGTATCACAAAAAATATAAAAAACTTCTAATGCATATTTTTTCTTTATCTTTGGAAAAATGTTTTTTTAAATATTTTTCCTTTATTCCTTATGTCAAAAGGTATTCAGTATTTTAATATATAACATTAATTACATAACACCCTGTATATTAGCCATATTTAAAAACGATAATTATAATTCAGCAATTTTACAATTATTGGAATAAATTAATAGGATTTTAACGTATGCATCAAATGTCAAAAAATGCTAGAAGTATTTTTTGATATTTTATAAGATTGTGTAAATTCTAATAATACTAATATTTTTTGGTGCTATGATGTACAGAATAGACAGTCTTATACAGAGGCGTATTTAGGATTTAGCTCCGGGGGGGGGTCCACAAAAACTAACTAAATATGTACTATGCTATGCTTTATAATAACTATCTATTCATGGTATAGTTCTATTTCTGTTCGCGCCTCGATCATAACGACACAAGAAAGAGGTAGGAACGATATACCTACAGGGTTGCCAAACCACCTCTTTCTCCTTAATACGTAAGTAGTTGATTTTTGATTTTAATGATTTTATATTTAAATATAATTAATAAATAATAAAGTACGTTGACAGTCTAAATACGCCACTGGTCTTATAACTTGAAAACAAAGCAAAAAAACAATTCTTAATTTTGTAAGTTTTAATTTTTTGTCACAAGTCATAAAACACGATGTATAAAAAACTTTTTTTAGTAATTATTATTGATTTACAACTTACCTTTCCTTTACATTTGGATTTATCGATTATTTTTAATGCATAATCCTTATTGTTTCTTGTATCCCTACATAATCTAACCACAGCAAAATTACCTGAAATAATAAAAAAAAAATAGATCCAAACACCTATAAAAAAACAGTATTACTTACCATCACCTATCAGTCTTCCAACAACAAACTTCTTATTTAAACTAGGCGGCAAAGTAATGTCTTCGCTAAGTTCGTAGGTTCTGTTAAGGTCTTTTTTCGGCATTTTCGGCTTTGGACCCGCTCCATTTCGCAGCCCGGGAACTTTTTTGTACTTTTGAATTTCTTTACTTTCCTCGAATTCCAACTCAAAGTCATCCTAAACAATAAATTAACATAATAAAAATACAATTTACTAATTTGCAATTAAACGTACCTGCGAAAATCGTTCGTTTCCGTAAACGAAGAAAACGTCGTCCGTATTAAACAACTGAGGTAGATCGTTCACAGGCTGCCCGCTCAGTGTAAAAACTTTACGCACTGCTAACTGACATAATTCGGAGAAAGCGCTTAGCACCTGTTCAAAGTTGGATGAGTTTCGTTTGTTCAATAATATCCGAAGTATCTAGAAATACATTCATATTTATTCGAATTTATGATTCGTCATTAAATTTAACAATGCACGCGATACGATTTACATAATATGATTTATTATTCAACTATTTTAACTTTAATATTATATGATGTATCAAATTTTATAAACATCAGTTTAGTTACGAGTTTTATTAGGCACGAGCGAAGCTTGCGAGCGAGTATTTAATAAAAACGAATGTCTAGAGAAGTTTATAATACGAGTTAAATACTATACTTTATCTACGACAAACACAAAGAAAAATTAAAAGCCAATTTTATTTGTTACATATTTGACATCTCTCAACTTTAAACGGATTTAACCCACAGACCAACAAACAGTAGGTCTGTGATTTAACCTTACTTTTCCCTAATTTATAATAACGTTAACTTCAGCCCGTGACTAAAATGCCCAAAAGCCACTATTGCTAACTTCAGCCCGCAACTAAAACGCCATAAAGTCACAGCTTGTCAATGTAGGAGTAGATAAAATATCTAATATATTTATTTAAATATACCTGTTAAATAACTGCAAGATTTGAATTAACAGGTATTCTTTTAAGTAATTTGAGTCGAATTTATCACGACGATATAGGTATTACACATCCAAAAACGGTCGCTATTGTCACAATGGATTGTGTGGATTGTGGTTATGCTAACAAATTAAATAAGACAGCTGAGAGTGACATAACATTTTGTGTAAAAAATTTTAACCGCAATGACGCGTCATACGAACATTATTTTCTATCCTTTTATAGTCTTTTAGCATACAAAAAAAATTAAATTAAATTAAAATAACACTTTTAATTAAAGTGGATGAAAGGGTTAATAACATTTTTAATCATATATATGATTAAAAATGTCCTATATAGGACAAAAATATTGTATTTGCAATAGGTACCAAGTTTATTTTTATTTACAATAAATTTGGGTTGGGAGTGTCATGTTACATTTGAATAAGAAAAAACAGACAATATTGGGATTGTTGATAAAAATATTTTTTTATTATAATTACAATATCTTACGTCCTTTTAGCCCCTTTATCCAATTCCTCTTTCAATTGTTTAATTGTCTTAAAAATTATGCAAATTTAATTCCCTATCTTAATAACAAACAAATGGTCTTTTATCAATTATGAAAGAAAGGGTGGTCAATACAAGCACAACTTTGTTTTTAACAAATTGTAATTAGGTATGAAATTTTTTAACTATTTAGTTTTAAAAAGCTATTACAAAAATATGTTCTATTCTTCAAAATATCTTTATAAATAAATAGTTTTTAAACATAAAAATAAAATTTTATTTTAAAAACTTTACCTACTTTTAAATTTATTTGTCTTAAATTGATGCAAAATTAATTAATTTTATATTGTTTTTAAGATAATTAATATTTATCCTAAAGACTGCCTAAATAGTTTAGTCAATACAATGAAGTTATTTAATATTAAGCAGGTAGCCATATAAAAAATTTCATTACAATTTGACAAATTTTAGAATGATCTAAATGATCTACATTAAGACCTTGCCTCACCACTTTTAATAAACATAAATAATATAATTTAAATAATGTCTTACCTTTCTAGGTCTAATGCCGTTTCTTATAAGTGTAACTATTCTAGGTCGAATACAATCTGGAGGTATTACTTTGGGTGAGCTGGAAATTAAATGGACAGAAACGTTTTGTTTGTTTGACATTCTTTTGGACTTAAGAGTATCAGTTTGGGTGTATTCAATTTTCTTGAACAGTTCCCCTTTTCCACTGCAAACATATTCTTTGCCATCTTCCAAATCATCTATACTGGACACCTAATAACATTTATTTTTAATTTTTCTTTTAATCATTTAGGAACATTGATGATATATAAATCATGAAATGTGACAAGAAATAAGTAAATTGAAAAAGACCAAAAACTCTTTATAAAGAAAAGTGGGTAGGTAGCAAGAAACCTTTTATAACTTTTTAAAATTTAAATGTTATCATAAAGATGAGAATAATGGTAAAATTGGGTTTTTGTAATCATTGGGTATATTTCAATATTTTTCCATAAAAATGTACAATGTAGTGACCATAAGAATAAATATGGTCCAAACTAGCCAAATTAAGTAAAAAAGAGCACAACAAAAGCTGACATACACATTCTATTACAAAATTTCTATTAACAAAAACAAGTTCAAAAAAACTTTTGTCAAAATTTTAATGTAGCATTATTTAACAGCAAAAATCATTAAAGTGAAAAGTTGGCAGTCACAGTATTAATACAATTGTTCCTCCCACTGCCTTATATAAGACTGTGGTTCCCTCCTATGTCAATTATGATTAAAATAAGTGCAATATTATAAAAGGATTGCTGAAATTGTATGCATATATTTCAAAATGCAAATAACTGCAATGTTTATTATTTATTAATATTTTTAAACTCTGTTAATTAATTGGTATTAAATACAACTAACGGTTACCTTCCTGCCTTCCATAGAATATACATGTCTTACACCATTGGGTAAAGTTACACATTTAGTTAAAATGTTAGTCAAATCATTGGTTAAACTATCAAAGGATCTGTATCTTTCAGGAGCTACAGGAACCACTATACCATTAAAAAACTTATTGCCATTGTGATAAAATCGTATCCTTTTTGCTTTTTGCGCCCTAGAGGTGCTGGATGGCCTGTTATTTTTTATTATGCTCAGGTCTTCAATTCCATTTTCGATTATTTCATAATCAGATGTTATACTATTACAACTGGTGGAGGATAGACTTCTGGAGCCACTAATATTGTTCTTGGACATTGTTACTTTGTACTTCTTATATTTATCAGGAGTCGCTCATATTAACATCATTTTTTAATAATCCAATATCTATATATTTTTAAAAGGATATGCGAGGTACCGCCTATTATACAGCTGTCACTATAGATTAACACTTGTAAAGCTTTACGGAGGATTAACTTACACGAAATTTTGTTTTTAGTACAAAGCGATATGGATTTATAACAAAATTACATAAAAAACGTCAAAAAATTGAAATACTTTTCAAATAACTGTTTATTACTGCAAAAAAGGTAATAACCTCTTTTCGGCAAGTAGGAGGGAGAACATTTCTAAACAGGGAAGCCAACCTAACTCTCTAAATATAAAATATCTCTGTGCCTTCACGACATTTACAATTTAGGGGATTTTTACTATCCAAATATGGTTATACTTGGTGCTGTCAAAAGTGACAAATAACCTTACATACATGCACATGTGCTTCAAAATTTTTCATTTAATTTTTTAATTATGGTGCGTAAACTTAAATTTCATGAGCAAAAATTACTCAAGAAAGTAGATTTTATATCATGGGAAGTGGATAATAATTTACATGAAGTAAAAGTATTGAAAAAGTATTATATTCAAAAAAGAGAAGATTACACAAAGTACGGTTATATTTTGAATTATTTTTATTGTTATATTAACCAATTATTTGTAGATACAACAAATTGGCCAGAAATATTAGAGAAGTAGCAAGAAAAATCAAAGAAGTTGATCCAAAACATCCATTTAGAACAGAAAGTAGTGCACAATTATTGGAGAAATTGTATGTAATTTTATTAGGTTATTTTCTCTTATAATCAAATACTTTTAGATATCTAATGGGTTTGATTGCAACAAGATGGGATCTAAGTCTAGCAGAAAAAGTTACTGCATCTTGTTTTTGTAGAAGAAGGTTACCAGTTGTGATGGTTAGAAGTAAGTAAATAGGTTCCACACTATAAACATTTTATTTTAAAATAATGTGTAATTTAAGATAAAATGTCAGAGTCAATAAAGGGTGCAGTAAAATTGATTGAACAAGGGCATGTGAGAATAGGACCAGAGTTGGTAAAAGATCCTGCATTATTAGTTACAAGAACTCTAGAAGACTTTGTTACTTGGGTAGATAGCTCAAAAATTAAACAACATGTTTTGGAATATAACGGAATGGTAATATTAATTTTGATGTACCTACCTACTTAATATTAATGATTTTTTTGTTTCAGAGAGATGACTTTGTGATGTGATTTAGGTGTATGAAAATGTTTTTAATAAAATTATAAGAATATAATGTCTTTTATTTTTTAACATAACCATTTACAATAAATGTAATTCTTAAGAAGCAACTTTTAACATTTCTTGAACATCAATAATTTTTTCCCTGGGTTTTCCAACATGTTTTCCCTTTAATTTTTCATATTTATCAATTTTTAACCAATCCTTCCATAACACAAGTTGTGTATTTTTTACTTTTAAAATCTTCTCAATTTCTTCAAAACCTGGTTTTAAAGTAACTGCTAGACCTTCTTTTTCTATGTCATTTAATATTAAATTGGCTGTTCCAAATGCATTGCCCATTGTTGTTAAAATTACACCTGTAGGTCCTGTAGCTAGCCATCCAGAAGTATAAAATCCTTTTTCTATTTTACTATTTTCATTAATAGCCACTCCTTTGCTATTATCAAATGGAATATCTTTATCAATTTGATGTGATTTGTAACCTATACTCGTAATAACCAAGTTGCAAGGAATTTCTTCCCTTTTTTCTGTCATCACAGCCTTGCTACTTAAAAAATCAGTACCTTCCAATCTATTAACACCTAACAAAATCTTTTCTACAACCTGATCACCTAAAATTTCCAAAGGAGATCTAAAGAATATTGGGTAAAAAGTTTTGCTTCCTGAAGTACCCATTTGATTTAAAGAATTTAACATTAACTCAGAAATGCGTTTTTTTGGTCTTGCTAATGATGAAACCAACTCTGAAACTCCAGAGAAATCATCTTTTCTCCAAACTGTGTTGCAATTTTTTAACTTTAACATTTCTCGTAATTCTTTTATGGTAAATGCTGCCTGCAAGGGACCCCTTCTTCCAATAAGATAAACTTTTTTTATTTTGGAATTTGAAAGTTTTTCTAAGGCATGTTGAGTAATATCTGTTTTCTGAAATTAATAAAATGTAGGAACAATAAACATACAATAAATATTTACACTCAATTCATCTATTGGGCTCAGTAATATTCTAGCTACATCAATAGCAACATTTCCTTGACCCAAAACAGCAACTGATTCACCACTAAGGTCCATATCTAAATTTGAATTCCATGGGGTTCCATTATACCAACCCACAATATTTCTTGCTGATATAACATTTTTTAGATTTTCACCAGGAATGCCAAATGTTTTACTTTTATCTGCTCCATATGTCTAAAAAAAACAAAATAAGAAAAACAAAATTGTTTACTTACTATTTTTTTCACAAACCAGAAGCACAATGTGGTAAGCATCTTTTAATTGTTTTATAGAAACATCCTCCCCAACATTTACATTTCCTATAAAGTTGACTTGCTCACTTTCAGCTGTTTTACTGAAAGTATTAATAACATTTTTTACCTCAGGATGATCGGGTGCAACCCCAAAACTAAAAATTATTCTTAAACCATCATTTTTAGATATCATCACATCTGCTTACCGTACCAATCCAAATGGTACAGGCAATTTTTCATAAATATCTACTTGGACGTTTTTTAGTTTTTTTATTAAATGCTGAGCTGCATAAAACCCTGCAGGCCCTCCCCCAACTATACATATTTTTGGATTTGTTTTAGATGAAGAATACAATCTTTTGAAAAACTTAAAAATATGCATTTTTGTTGTTTATTGTACTCTACCTCTTATCTATTACTATCATTATTTTGTTTTATGTAAAATTATTTTTTATGTACTTATAACAGCACATTAACCTAAAAACAAAATCACAGAACAAAATATAACTACTAGTACGTGCTACACGGGTTGCCTATAAAACAGGTGGGTTTTCTTCTCATTTGTTTTTCAATAAATTTTTGAAATAGGTTTTTCAATGCCTATTTTATAGCGTAGACTCTCTGATTTATAGAATATAAGAACTATATTTGTTACGGAAGAAATAGATATTTTTAAATAATTAACTTTTTAATTAATCCTTATTTAGGTAAATATTAAGCAAGTAGTAACAAATTATTGCGAAATATTGGCATTGAAAGCAAATACTACAATAAGAAATTTGAATTTGTCGATTTTGCCCTAATAACCGATGGCTCAATCCCATAGGATGTCAAGTTCACACGTTAGTATTGCTAAATCTATATTTTTTTTAATAAATACTTACCGACATAAGCTAAACCCAGGTGTATGTATCTTGAGCTAAACCCGTCAGTTGTCCAGCGTTAAAATTGGACCATGTTTCGTATAGTTTTAATGTGTTTGGTGATATCACTGAGCGATGCAAATAAAAAACTTTTAAGTGATAATTTGGAAAATGTGAATATAGACATAACGGAATTATGGGGACGGTTTCCCTTAAATTTAATGAAAAACGGTACGCAAATATCGCAAAAGTGTAGAGTTGCTTATGATCATTATCTGGAGGGATTAAATAACTTTAATTTAGATGATTTAAAAAGTAAGTTATTTACTTAATTAATTATTTTTAGTTTCCATTTTAAATCGTCAGGTAAAAAATATAATATGTATGTAAATATCGTCATATATTCCTGCCAAAAGTCACTAACTAACATTTTATTATATATGGCTTCAAGATAAAATAAACAAGCAATTTGCTTAAAGCAAATAAATAGTATATCTATTACAGTTTAAAATCTATAATAATTTTTAACCATGCAAAAACATCCATGGATGCATTTTTATTATTTTAGGCATCTATACATATATAGCCACTATAGTGGCTTTTAAATATTGTAAATTTGTATAGTTAACTAACTAACTTAATTAAGTACAATTGGTTAACATTTTTACAAAATATTAGTTAGTGACTTTTGGCAGGAATATGACGATATCATATAACAAAATTTGTTATATTAATAACAAATTTTGTTATATATTTAATATTTAAAACTGGTACTCCTGTTTAAGCCCTTAATTTTAAATACTTTGACATTTGTCATTTAACTGTCAAAATTATAATAAACATACATGTGGGTGAAAATGTCCCCCGATAGTGTTACCCCGTGATATTTGATAAAACTAAATGAATTTGACCTACACTTTTATTGTGTTTTGATCTTTCATAATTAAGTAGATATTTCAGCTCAAGTCCCAGATTTTTAACCGCAATTATTTTTTTAAATGTTTTAAAAGTGTAAAACCTATCCTCCGTGACTCTTTCTAGGTTAATATCTGAGGTAGTAATTACTTTTAAAAGCATACTAAAAATATCAGTTCACCAAGTAAATTAAACACAGCCAAAGCAATTGAATCAAATATTATATATTATTAAAAATTAAAAGAAATAATTTTTATAACCATTTATGAAGGTGTTACAAAAATTGATTCTATCCTTCGTGAATCTATTTTTTGCTTTAAATTTTATGCAACGGATGGCGCTTTAATAATTTTAAATCACATACTTGTGGAAGTATGTGTTTTAAATAAGCAAAAATCTCTGTTTACGATATTATAGATGCATATGATTCCTTAAGGTCAGTTAGAATTTATGTGCAGATGAGAGTGTTGCTGATTTATAATTCAAAAGTTTAAGTTCATTAATTTGCTATCCTATCCTATCCACCGTAAAGTGTAACATCTCGGTAAGTAGATTTTTTTATAAATATTTTATGTACCTATGTACAATTGTATTTTTAAAAAATATTAAGATGTCAAAAGATACAATAACTTATTTCAAATATACAAAGGGATGTTTAAAAAAAACATACAAAACCCTAACCTCCGTGAAGCTATCTTCCGTGAAGCTTTCATATATGAATATATTCAAAATGTATTATTTCTAAAAATTCTTGCATTAGTGCAGAACCACTTATGTTATTACTAGACCTGGTGGCTTCCCAAAAACCCCATTCTAGACTAACAGTGAAACAACCAAAAATAAAAAATAATCATTTTCACTTGGGGGACATCTCAATATATTCACTCATGTGTATTTGTACAGTCGTATGCAAATAAAAAGCGTACAACCTTAGAATGAGAGGTACTGCACTTGTCAAATATGGCCAGTTGGGTTATAAAAAATACAGTGCCGTAAATGTAAACCAGCCGACAGTTACCTCTATAGTGTTGGAATTTTTTGTCAATAATTTTTTTTTTATAAAATATATATTTCATCGTTTATAAATGCTCGAGCATTTATGAGCGCTTGGGGTCGTCCGCATATTACGTCACACTTTTTTTCGTGATATTTTAACCCCCTGTCACACTTGGTCACATGCTCATCAACCCCCCTGCAAATATTATGTCACAACATACAATACCCTCCCCCCCTTTTTTGAAATACTACTTAACTCGCGTCGATAAATATATATTAATAAAACACGAAGAAAAGTATTAACATGTTTTCTGTGTTGCAGTTCATTACAATAATTATTTCATTAACCAAATACAACCTCTCTGATATTTATTTTTACCATTAATTGTAATTACCCTTAAGTCACTTGTTGAATACATTATTACCTAAATAATAACATATGTAAGGTGTATATTATTATATTATATGATAATAATTACATTTTTTACATACGATGCGCTTAACTTGCTTTCATTGTTGCCACTGTACTTCTAACTATGCTTAATTATTTAGCTTACTGCTTTTACCTGGACCAAGCTTGTCTATATTCGACCAACAAGAAACTAAAACTCCATTCTAAAAATTAAGTAAGGGGCTCTGTAAACATGGGGGAGGAGATCGTCAGGATACTCTACACGCTTTTTACAACCAACCACACTACCACATTGCGGTACTTTTACTTTGTCTTCTTTTTATGTTGTGTATTTTATAGGTATTGATATAAATTTGATTTGATTTGCGCTCGTTTACCATGCGAAAGGTTCGATACTTGTCGCCTCCACACCTTTTTTAATTTAATTTTATGAATTTAACTAGCGAAATAATACAATGTGGCATTAAAAAGCATTTATTTTTAATTTTATATTAATATTTTCGTTGGTTGGTTTTACTTTGGTCGTAAAATTCTTTGGTTTGGTCAATTAGCATTCAATTTAAAAACACCCTGTAAAAGTGAAAATAGTCCACACAAGCTCATAGAGCTTAGGGACTGTTCTGTGATGACGATTTTATTTTTAAATAAACTTATTCTTATTCTAAGTAAGAGGCTTTTCTTAAGTATTAAAAATGCTAAAAACCATAGTTATGGTTAATTTTTCTTTATATACGTCTCTCGATCGATGGACGTATATCAATATACTATATATGTCATCAATATTTGAGTTAAAATAATTATAACTCAAAATTAATTATTAATAATAAAGATTTAAGCAATTTTAAATGTTATAGCCTTCTCCCAATTTAAAACCGGATTGGTTTAAAACCGTGAATATTAATATCCGCCATTGCAATCACTGATACCTAACAACGTGAATAATGATTTCAATATTCCCGTTGTTGGGCAGGGAATTTATAATGTTTAAACATATGCATTATTCACGAAAAAAAAACAATATTATGCAATAGAAGTAGATAAAGTGTTTAATCGGCTAAAAATATGTAAGTACCTATGCCAAAGGAGGGTTAACTTAAAACTGTTTTTAATATTACAAGAAATGTCCTTTTATTTTGTATTTTTTGCAAATTTTAACGCAAAATATTTTAAATATTTTTTACCTTTAAGATTTAAAATGAAAACATCTCTTCTAAAAACATTTTAGTGTGGGATTCAACGGGTAAATTGCCTTCTGGAATTTTAAGCGGAAATATAAATCAATTCGGTGATTTTGACGAATGTATGGGTTTAAAAAATGGAAAATATTGTTTAGCTGACATTGATATAAAACCTGCCATGAAGGGAGTTTTCGCCTCATATAAAGGATATGTGCATTCATTCTTTCCAATTAAGGACACATTAAATGATGTAAAATTCCGACTGTTACTTTGTCCAAACACATTATTTTAATTCTTTTTTAGTCTAATCACAGAACTCCAGGCTTTTCAATGATTAAGTGGGGCTTTTGTATTCCAAAAGATTGTTCAAATGTAGATTTAGAAAAAAGTTTGCAGGAACATTTAGGATTTGAAGCCAAAGTAAAAAGTAACATGTGTCAAGTTGGTTCACCAATCAAAAGTAAAGCGTCCATAGGCTTACAAATTACACGGTTTGAATATAATAAATTAATTAATCGTTAAATATAATTACAATATTTTTTAGGTGGTATTTTGCAATTCTACTTGTATTGGTTGTAACTGCTTCTATTATGCATTCAAAATTGCAAAATAGTAAAAGTAAGTTCATATTTATTGAGAGCATATGAAATGATTTTTAATTGTATTATATTTATAGATATATTTTCAAAAATATTATTCTGCTTTGCTTTTCAAAGAAATTTTGAATCACTAACCACAGTTAAAGATGAAAAGGAAGAGTTTAGTTCAATACATGGATTTAGGGCTTTAAGTGCCATAGCATTGCTTGGCACCCACAAATCAATGGCACTGCTATTTAACCCTTATATTAATAGGGTCAAATTGGCTGAAGTAATATTTTTGTACTCAATATTTTGTTTTATTTTAAATACAATTTTGTAGAATATTAGCATGGGTTGGAGTGTAATTGGCAGAACTGCCATTGTTTATACAGAAAACTTTTTTGTAATGAGTGGTTTATTAAATGCAAATGCTTTGTTTAGGGATTTGCAAAAAAAAAATTCCATTGGATTTGTGGATAAAATTATAAATAGGATTTTTAGGTAAGTTTGTTAGTAATGTGTCTGACCCCTGTAAAATTGCCCATAAAGATTTTAAGCGGTACCCTACTGATTTTAATTTTAATAAATTTAGTGGTTTAAGGAATCATTTTAATAAATTTAGTGGTTTAAGGAATCAGTGTAAAATCTTGACCGCCGAGTGCTATAGATATTACATAGATTCCTTGGAAAGAAACCAATTGCAACCCTCAATATTTTTGGAAGTATGTGAATACTAAAAAAAGGAATAACCTCATGCCAAATAAAATGTCTTATAATAATACTTTTTCAAATTTATTTGGCGATTTTTTTAGCTCTGTTTACGTAAATAATTGTGATATTAAAGTACCTGATTATAATTATGCTAGTAATTTACATTTAAATTACTGTGGTATTTGTGAACGTGATGTATTCGATGAATTGTCTGAATTAAATACTTCTAAGGGTGCTGGTCCTGATGGTGTTCCTTCTTTAATGCTTAAAGAATATAGGTTTTCCTTGGTAAAACCCCTAACTGAGCTGTTTAACATATCTCTAAATCAGTGGCGGCTCGTCGTATAAAGCAACTGAGGCCGGGCCTCACATGTTAAAATTATAATATAATTTGAAATGTTGAATATTATTATTACTTATTAGTAATAAGTTCTTCTCAATAAATTTACATACATATTAAAATAAGTTATTGTATACATTAGCTAGCCAGTGTATACAACATTTACGAAATTTATACATTGACTGTATCATATACAAAAGTTTACTAAAAATCAACTCAAATAAAAAAATCCGATTTAAATTTAAAAAATCTGATTTAAATTTAAAAAATTTAATTAAAAATCTGATTGTTAAAAAAAAACAAACAAACCTGTTTTAAGGAAAAAATATTTTGCGAAATATTGTCAATTAAGGAGCAGATTAAGCAAGTCAAAATTTTTCCTAATTACGTATGTTTCCAAGGTACAGGATGATAAAGTTTTATATATCATATCAGTTTTTTTAATATAACTTCTACTATGGTAGACTTGGAAAGGTGCTATTTTGTCACTTACTACCAATACACAAATTCACACATATTTACAATAGTTTGAGTAAACAGTGTCGTAGGAACGGAGATTGCTTAATCTTATTGTCCCATACAAACTTCAAGGTTAGTTTTTTGTATCATTTGATGTAATTTTTTGATTACTCAGTTCGACTACTATAAAAAGGTTTAACTCTCAAACTTCGATAAAATAAACCGTTTCCGAGATATTCGAGATTACAATAATTGTTATAATTGTTAAATCGCATAGGAACCCCCGTTTCTACGACACTGTGTTCACTCAACCAATTGTAAATAAGTGTGAATATGTGTATTGGTAGTAAGTGACTGTTCGCAAAATATCACCTTTCCAAGTCTACCATAGTAGGAGTTATATTTAAAAAACTGATATGATAAGTAACACTTTATCACCCTGTATTTTGGAAACATATGTAATTAGGAAAAATATTTATTTAGGTTTTCGTCTTATTTGGACAATATTTTCCCAAATTTATGCCGGTAAGTTTAGGGACACCTTGTATATAATTTATTAAAACGTAAAAAGTGAAAATTGGGTTAATCCAAACTTTTTATTTATTGCGGATATGCGCGGATAAGGATTTTAGGCACACCATTAGTAGACTAGTACGAGCCCTAACCACATAATGTTCGGACACTTCATAATTTATACAGAAAATTTTTTTCGTGAATACTATCTCAAAATTATTAGAAGTTATGAAAAATTAAGCTTATTTTGGCATATACCCCTCGAAGCGATTTTTATTTTTAAAAAGTTTACCTTTTATTTTTAGCTTTTAAAAAAAGGCTAACTTTTTAACTTTTTTTTGCATGAGTAAAAAAAGTTATAAATGGGCCCATTAAAAAGAACATAAAATATTATACAAACCCTGAAAATTTGGTAAAAATTGTATAAATAATAAGAAAGTTATAGCGATATATATATCTGCAAAATCTCCCGTTTCCTAAGAAAATTGCAAAAACTCTTTAAAAATAGCATTTTTAAATTACTTATACTTTTTTATAACTTATTTATTTTTTACCAAATTTTCAGGGTTTATTTTATGCTCTTTTTAATGGGTCCATTTATAACTTTTTTTACTCATACAAAAAAAAGTTAAAAAGTTAGCCTTTTTTTAAAAGCTAAAAATAAAAGGTAAACTTTTTAAAAATAAAAATCGCTTCGAGGGGTATATGCCAAAATAAGCTGAATTTTTCATAACTTCTAATAATTTTGAGATAGTATTCACGAAAAAAAATTCTGTATAAATTATGAAGTGTCCGAACATTATGTGGTTAGGGCTCGTATTTGACTAAACCAAATAAGGTCACAAAATTTTAAAATGTAAGTTATTTATTAAGACTAAGTCACAAAACCAAATTTTATGTAAAATATTGTTGACCTACTCACTGTCAGACTTGCCAGAACCCGATCCAGAATCAGATCCAGACGCCGATCCAGATCTGGATCTCGAGCGAGACTTTGATTTGGATCTTGAGCGCGATCTGCTTTGCGACTTGCTCCTGGATCTCGATCTAGATTTGCTTTTGGATTTTGATCTGGATCTGGAACGGGATGGGGATTTAGAGGCACTCCTTGACCTGGATCTTGATTTAGAGCGCGAACGGGATCTAGATGACGATTTGGATCTTGATCTTGATCTGGATTTTGACTTGGATTTTGATCGCGAACGTGACCGTGACCGCGATCTAGATTTTGACCTGGACTTGGATTTAGACCTGGATCTGGATCTTGAAGAGGATCTTTTTGATGATGCCCTTGACGAGGCTCTTGATCTTTCCCCATCACTGCTTCCTTTTTCCTCTTTGTCATCTTCTTTCTCTTGGTCGGATCCCGCTTGACTTTCTTCATCTTGCTGTTGTATTTCCTCTGGTTCCGGCTCGAATTCTTCTTCATCCTCACCTAAATGTAATCAAATATAAGCAAATTCTAAAAAAAAATAAAACTCTAAAATGTACCAGGTGGTTCTAGTTGTCTTTCCCTGTATCTCTGCATTCTAAATTCGTTGCCATCCATGGTTCTGTGTTTCACAATTAGTCTGGTATTGCTTGCAGGTTGACCAACCTTTTGTCTTCTTTTACTTAACCTAACCCTTGTCTCCAACTCATTGTAGTAAATACCATCCTGACGCACCACAAAGAAGTAGTTCTCCTCATAGCCCTTGCTAGCCTTACTCTTGACATTCCAGTTGTACTCCCTGGCCATTTTATACTCATACTCTTCATCATCTTGATATGCAACATTGTTGATAAAATCTTGTCTACGTTTCTCTAGGGTATCTTCAGTTGGAAGGAAGTAGGCAACAAATTGTTCACCACTTTCATCCATGACACCACTGAAAAAAAAAACAATAACATTTGCATTTATCTTATAAAATATATAGAAATACCGAATCATAGCTTGAGACATTTCTTCAATTTGAGCTGGAACCTGTTTGCCTACAGGAGCTGGATCAGAATCAAAAATAACCTGTGCACAAGGATATTTCCACAAACTGAAATCTGGATATAGCGGTAAAACTTCAACTGGTACCACATTTGGTTTGCTGTAATGCTTTTCAATGGGAATCTTAGTATCATCAAACGTTTTCTCAATGGCTCTTATCTGAGAGTCATGATCCATGTACAAAGTCTCATTTTTAAGGTTCTTTTTAATACTGTAACCAACTTTGGCTTCCACTTTGTCCATTGTTTGTGGCTGAAATCTTGTCTGTTCTGTGGAAATGTACTCTGTACGACGTAACCAGGACACACATTTAGCATGATGTCTGGATCTTTTAGAATCTTGTGGTGTTAAAATGTCTTCTTCCAAAAGTTTTTCGTCAGCAGGATCCAGCTGTGCACCAAATTCAACAGAATATATCTCCTTATTAATAAGGTCAATTCCTACACCCAAGTCATGTTCTGTTAATACTTCATATCTATAATTTCTTTCCAGGGATGTGGGATTATATTGAATAAATCTGGTCGGTTCAAACGGGTACGAGATGAATTTTAAATCGAACGGTATATCGGGAAGTGTATTACAATATTTTACTTTGCAAATTAAATCAGACCTAAAAATGTTTAATATTAATACTTACTTTTATTCATGATGACATTTACCTTTTTTCTGCTGGTTTCACAGGTCGCTTTTCAGCGGCATTTGACCCGTTTTGAATTGTAGGTGGCATTTTAAAAAATATTTAACAGATCACAAAACACCAAACATAACCTACAATTCAGAGAAAGAAGGTTAGCAACTTTCCCTCTTCTTCACAAAATGAACGTAATAAAGTACACTAGGTTGCCTATATTAGAATAGTTCATAAGTACGCCCTGTTGTCGGATTGCTTTTAATAACCTATTAATAAGGATTTTTGTTTTAGAATCCTTCCTAGCGTTTTGTCTGTTATTTTATTTTATACCTATATACTTCCATTTTTGGGTTCTGGACCTCAATGGCCCCTTGTAGTGGATTATCACTCAGAACTTTGCAAGAAATATATGTGGAGAAATATTTTTTTTATACACAATTGGTTTGGATTTAGAAAAATGGTGAGTAATAATAATAACACTGTAGGGAGGTGAAAATATCACAGCTAAATGCTCGGACACGTAAACTTAATTTTTGGTCGTAGATTACAAATCCGTGCTTGGTTTAGCTGTATCAGGTCAAAATTTGAAAGATATTGGAAACACCCTGTATAAATTTTTTGAAAAATTAAATTTTGCGGGACCCACACATCAGTTCCAAATTAAAAGAATAACAAATTCTTGCAGAATTTGAAGTTAATTGATCAAAAGATACACGTGTCCCTAAGGGTTTTTCTTAGATAATTTAGGAAATTTGAAATGTTTTTTTGCTGATTTTTTTTTTTACTGAGTATAATTGAGGATATAATATTAAATAAAATAAAAAGCATAAAACTGTTGGCACAAGAGGTGAATTATATTATTTTACAAATTACACTGTAGGTAACTTTTCAACTCTTGAAATATCACAGCTAAACGCTCGGACACGTAAACATAATTTTTGGTCGTAGAAACCAAATCCGTGCTCGGTTTAGCTGTATCAGGTCTAAAATAGTTATTTATGTCATTAGGTTAAGAAGTAAGGCTTTTTGTGCTAAGCTCAAAGTTTGAAGGCCGACGCGTAGCGGAGGCCTACAATTGAGCGAAGCACAAAAAGACACTTCTTGGCCGAATGGCATACAACATTTTATCTTCAAAGCACTTTATATAGGTCAATTTAATTCAACATGAAAGCAGCCTAACCTCACTTTTTTGAATCTCATTTATTTATTAGCTAAAGATTACATTAAATGTACAATAATTATTATTCCTTTTAGAAGCAGTAATAGTTTGACAATACCTAGCTACATGATTTAAGTAGAAATGGATTTTTATAAGAAAATGGTTTACTTACCCTCTTGCTATTACATTGAATTCAATTAATTGTTTAATAAATAGGTATCTAATTTCAATTTGTTTGCATTTTTATTAAAAAAATAGGTAGTTTGGAATGTTTACGCTGTGTTTAACATTTAATTTTACTGAAAACTTAAAGCAAATTAAAATTTAAAGATAATTTAAATCGTAGAAAAAGAAAACACAACTGTGAAACGTCAAATTGCAATGTCCTAACCTCACTTTTTGTTTTATTATTCATATTTAATTTTACAATAATTTAATGAAAAATATTAAACATTATAATGTTATAACAGTAAAACAAACAAATTAGTGCTTATTATAAATAAATTAAACCAGTTTAGTACGTTAATTTCTTAGAAAAGAATTAATTTGTCAAAACAATACCCCTAGCGAGAAAAAATCGAACTAATTACTTGCCTCATAAAAATTTTTATCGGCCTAGGCCATAACAAGGTATTTCTTTATCGAATGTTGACAACAATAAAGTTTAAATTATAGACCGCGTGGAGATAAAAGTTTTTCTTGTCGGAAATCCGATCCGGGGACACTCTGCCCGGACAACATTCGTGATATTCATACGAACATGTTTTTATTTTATTTTATTCATACTTATATCATACGGAAGTCACCGCGTGATAAATGAAAATCATACGAACGTCACGTCGTGATTTTCACAAATTTTATTCATACTGATATCATACGGAAGTCACCGCATGATAAATGAAAATCATACGAACGTCAGGTCGTGATTTTCACAAATTTTATTCATACGGACATCATCCGGATGTCACTGCGTGAGAAATAAAAATCATGTCGTGATTTTTTATGCCATCGCTGTTTGCGATTGACCGATGGCCTAAAAAATCATGTCGTGATTTTTTATGCTAACGGTGTTTGCAAACATCCATGGATAATCATTTTTTCGCCACGTTCGTACACTAAGAGAAAAATTATGTTGAATCAACAGTTTTTGCGGTTAAATACATTTAATATTTTCTTGGATTTAAATTAACTATATGTAGTTAATTTAAATCCTAGAAAATATTGAATGTATTTAACCACAAAAACTGTTGATTCAATATATGTAGTATGTAGGTATACTTTTTCTCTCAAAGTACCTTCTAATGTGGCGCAAAAATAAATATCCAAACACCGATGGCATAAAAAATCACGACATGATTTTTTATGCTGTCGGTGTTTGGGCATAAAAAATCACGACATGATTTTTTATGCCATCGGTGCACCGACATGTTTGGATATTTATTTTTGCGCCACATTCGTACATTGTGAGAAAATGTACACGGAGAAAAAAGTTTATTGCTCCCAAATAAAAAAAATATTTAAATATGGGACAAGGGTACAGTTTATTTATCCTAAATATATTTTTATTCCCGACATATAAAGTTTTACTAAAGTATATTTATCGTTATTATTTCGACTATTTAGAGGTAATAAACAATATATTCACTACAAATAAAAGTATTAGGTAAACAGTTTATTTGTCCCATTTTTTTCTCAGTGTATGTTAACAATTGAATTAACAGTTTTTGCGGTTAAATACATTTAATATTTTCTTGGATGTGCAAGAAAATATTGAATGTTAAACTGTTGATTCAATTGTTAACATACTTTTTCTTTCAATGTACGATTGTGGCGCAAAAATAAATATCCAAACATGTCGGTGCACCGATGGCATAAAAAATCATGTCGTGATTTTTTATGCCCAAACACCGATAGCATAAAAAATCATTTCGTGGTTTTTTATGCCATCGGTGTTTGTATATTTATTTTTGCGCCACATTCGTACATTGAGAGAAAAAGTATACCTACATATATATTGAATCAACAGTTTTTGTGGTTAAATACATTCAATATTTTTTTGGATTACAATTATTAGTTAATTTACATCCAAGAAAATATTAAATGTATTTGACCGCAAAAACTGGTAATTCAATTGTTAACATACTTTTTCTTTCAATGTACGAATGTGGCGCAAAAATAAATATGTCGGTGCACCGATGGCATAAACAATCATGTCGTGATTTTTTATGCCCAAACACCGATGGCATAAAAAATCATGTCTTTAGGCCATCGGTCAATCGCAAACAGTGATGGCATAAAAAATCACGACATGATTTTCATTTATCACGCGGCGACTTCCGTATAATATCAGTATGAATAAAATTTGTGAAAATCACGACATGATGTTCGTATGTATATCAAGAATGTTGTCCAGGTTTAATTAAAAAATATATTCCAATGTTTAACAAAACGTTCACGTTTTGTTAAACATTGGAATATCTTTTTTAATTGAACCCGGACAACATTCGTGATATTCAAACAACGTTTTATAAATTATAACGGTGTAATGTGAATAACGAACTAGGTTTTAAAACGCAGTTCGCAGGTCTCATACGCATGCGCAAATTTTGCAAATATCACACCGTGAGTTCTACATGATATCACTGTGATGAAGCATGTGTATGCACTCAGGATATCACAGCGTGATAAAAAAATCACGTTGTGATATCATCATGACTTCACCAGGAAATCCCGATTGTTGTCCGGGTGTATACTGGTATATACTGGTATATATATATATATATATATATATATATATATACACTGTAGGGAGGTGAAAATATCACGCTCAAAAACGTAATCTTATTTTTTGGTCGTAGATTACAAATCCATGATTGGTTTAAACTAATAAGCTAATTAGCTGTATCAGGTTAAAATTCAAAGATATTGAAAACACCCTGTATAAATTTAAACACCCTATATAAATTTAAAAAAAAAATTAATTTGGCTGGACCCACACATAAGTTCCAAATTTAAAAAATACAAATTCTTGCAAAATTTTAAGTTAATTGACCAAAAGTAACACGTGTCCCTAAGGGTTTTTTATAGATAATTTAGAAAATTTAAAATGTTTTTTTGCTAATTTTTATATATTGAGTATAATTGAGAATATTATATTAATTGAAATAAAAAGCATAAGAAGCGTTTAGCTGTGATATTTCAAAATTTACCTACAGTGTAATGGAACATAAGTCATTTTATCATAAACGCTTGTCATGCAATTAATGTAAATTTACTAACACATCTAGCGATATTATGAATCTCGATATAACGAGTACGCGATATAACGAAAATCCCGCTATAACGAGCTAATCGCTGGTCCCTTCAATTATTGAATAGTCCCCTTTGCTTTTTTTAAACTGTCACGAGCTGTCATCAAGACAATAGGTATAGTGTCAGTTAAAATTTTTCTATTTTACCAATTCTTGTTATGGCACCAAGAAGAAAAGCGTTGTCCTTAGAATACAAGGTTCAAATACTCAAAAAAATAGATGACGGTATGAAGAAGGCAGATATCTGCCGCGAAACTGGCTTGGCTAGTTCGACACTTGCGACAATCATCAAAAACAAACACAAAATTTTATTGGGAAGTGAAACATTTTCGTCAAAAGTGAAAAAGATGCGACCCTCAAAGAATCCGGAGATGGAAAAAGTACTGGTTAAATGGTTTTCCTCTAATCGTGCTTCCAATGTACCAATTAGTGGCTGTCTTGTTAGGGAAAAAGCCCTAAACATTGTTGAAACAATCGATAATTCCCCAACTATTAAATGTTTCGTGGGGTGGCTTAATAGGTTTAAAAAAAGACATAATATCGGGTGTGCAAAGATCTGTGGAGAAGCTAAAAGTGTGGACAAAAGGGCCGTTGAGGACTGGTTAAAAAAATTTGCAGTTGCAAGTATTGGTTACAATGAAAAAGATATTTTTAATGGAGATGAAATGGGGCTATACTACAAACTAACACCTGACAAAACTTTAAGATTTAAAAATGAACCGTGCGTTGGAGGAAAATTGTCAAAGGAAAGAATTACTGTCTGGGTGTGCGCGAACATGACCGGTACTGATAAAAAGAGGCTTTTTGTAATTGGAAAATCAGCTAAGCCCCGATGTTTTAAAGAAGTCCAAAATCTACCTGTAGAGTACAAGGCCAACAAAAAAGCGTGGATGACAGCGAAATTGTTTAAAAAAGAACTTCTTCACTGGGATAAAGAACTAGTTAGAACCAAGAGACGCATCCTTCTTATTGTTGACAACTGTACAGCCC